GCCGCCTCCCGGGGACCGTGACCCCCCCCCCCAGCCCCGGGCACCCACAAACACCACGAAACCACCTGGGGACAGGGGCACCCCCCAAAATGCACCTCACTTGGGGGACCCAGTGCATCCTTCTGGGGATGGGACCCCCAAATCCTGCACCCAGGAGCACCCCCAAAACCCAGTGCATCCATTTGGGGGCCTGGGACACCCCTAAATCCAGTGCGTCCACCTGAGGACCAGGGCACCCCCAAACCCTGTGCCCAGGGGCACCCCCAAACCCAGCACATCCCAACGGGGATGGGAGCACCCCTAAACCCAACACACCAGCCTGGGGACCTGGGACACCCCCAAACCCAATCCAACCCCCTGGGGACCAGGGCACCCCCAAACCCCCTTCATCCACCTGGGGACTGGGGCACCCCCAAACCCAACACACCCACCCAGGGACTGGGACACTCCCAAACGCAATGCATCTGTCTTGGTGGGGGGGGCAAGCCAGAGCCCCCCAACCCCACACTATCTACCCAGATGCTGGGAACATCCCAACACCCCCCCAGCTGCTCCCACCCCAGTGGGACCAGCCCCCTCATCCGGCGGTTCCGGCAGAGGGGGGGTCCCCACGGAGCCTCTCCCCCACCCCGCCATGCACCTACTTGTGGATGAAGACCCTGCTCATGCCCAGGGCGCGGGCGATGGCACAGGCGTGCTGCCCCCCCGCACCCCCAAAGCAGGCCAGCACGTGGCGGGCGGTGTCGTGGCCCCGAGCCTGGCGTGGGGGTGGACACACAAGGGGGGTGACGCCAGCGGCGTCACCGGGCACCCGCAGCCCCCCCCGCCCTGCTCCGGGACCACCCCACCTGTGTCAGGGCACGGATGGGCCGGCACATGGCCTCGTTGGCCACCCGCACGAAGCCCATGGCCACCTCCTCCACCGAGAGCGGTTGGCGGGCGCCGGTGGCAGTGCCGGCTAGGAAGGCGTCGATGCGGGCGGCCAGGTCCCGGAATGCCCGTGCCGCCGTCTCCCGGCACAGCGGCTGGTCCTCGCCTGGACCAAAGATGCGGGGGAAGTACTCGGGGAGCAGGCGGCCCAGGCAGAGGTTGGCGTCGGTGACGGTCAGCGGACCCCCTGCGCCGAGACGGGGACGGTGAGCGTGGCACCATGGTACGGCACCCGCCGGCACCGCGGCCACTCACCCTTGCGGTAGCAGGCTGGACCGGGGTGGGCGCCCGCCGACTCAGGGCCGACCACAAAGAGCCCGGACCTGGAGGGGAGATGCCGGCGGGAGCAGGAGGGTCCCGGCCATGCCCGCTGTGCCGCGGCCAGGCCGGACCCAGGCTCGGCTGAGCCCCCTTGTCCCATCATGCCCTGGCCGGGGCACCCATGGGTGCCCAAGAGCCCCCACCCACCTGAAGAAGAGCCGGGAGCCGCCGCCAGCCGCCACGGTGTTGATGTCGAGCTGCGGCGCCTGGATGCTGACGCCGGCGGTGCTGGCCTCGAAGACGTGCTCGTACTCACCGGCGTAGCGGCTGACGTCCGTCGAGGTACCTGGGGAGCGCGGCTCAGCCCCGGCCGGACCCCCCACCCCGGCCCCCCGCCCCGGCCCCGCTCACCTCCCATGTCGAAGCCGATGACAGGCTGCCCGTCCTCGCGGCGGTAGGTGGTCATGGCGTAGCCCACCACGCCGCCGGCCGGGCCCGAGAGGATGGCGCGGGCCCCGCTGAAGTGCTGCATGGGGGTGAGCCCCCCGTCCGAGCGCATGAACAGCACCGGCACCTCCTGCGGGTGGGGGGCCCCGTGGGATGGGTGGCCGCGGGGGGTCCCGGCAGGATAGGCGCCCAGGGGGGATCCCGGTGGGATGGGCGCTGCTGGAGGGTCCCGGTGGGATGGTGCCCGTGGGGGTTCCCGGTGGAACGGATGGCCATGGGGGGGTCCTGGCAGGATGGGTGACCATGCGGGGGGTCCCGGCAGCCCCACTCACCTGCAGCTGGTGGGCGAAGCCGGCGCGGAAGCTCTCCAGGTAGCGGTGGATGCAGGGGGTGAGATAGGCATCGGCGCAGGCCGTGTAGCCCCTCGGCACTGCCCGTACCATGGCCGCCACCGCGGACGAGAGGGAGACGTGCCGGAAACCCAGCTCCCGCGCCAGTGCCCCGACCTGCTCCTCGTGGCCGGGCCAGCTGCCGGGGAGACCGAGGACGGTGTCGGGTGTGGGGGTCCGGCTGCGGTCCCCCCCTCCCCGTTCCCCCAGGCCCCCCCCCACCCCGGGACTCACGCGTAGGAATGGAGCAGCAGCACGGCCAGGCTGCGGATGCCGCGGGCCAGCACCCCCTCCAGCTCCCGCCGCAGCGCCGACAGCTCCAGCGGCCGCTGCACCAGCAGGGATGCCCCCGTGGAGCCTGGGGACAGCCGGAGGGTCCCAGGAGGGGTCACAGGGGGATGCCACCCCACCGAGCCTGGCTGCCCTCCCCACGGCCGTGGCGGCGGTCCCCACCTTCGAGCAGCGGGAGGGTCTCCTTCCCCGGGAGGCAGCAGCCGGGCTGGTGCGGGATCAGCCGCTCGTCCACCTCGATCACCTCCTCGTAGAGCACCTCGGGCACCGCCACCTCCTGCGTGGGGAGGGTACGGGGACGTCACCCGGGGGGCCACTGCGGGACACCCCGCCGCCCGCTCGGGGACACACCAGCCTCACCGCGTTGCCGCTGGCTCCC